TTAATTCCTTAACAATAGAAATATCACATGGCAAATTCATCACCCACATCTAAAATTGGATATGCTTTACACTTCTTCAAAGAATATCAGACACATCAAATTTGGAGGCAATGTTTACACCCTATTTTTCCACTTTCCAGTGGAAGATTGCTCTAGTCAATTCCAATGGAAAGGTACTAAGATGTTCCAGTGGAAAGTCTTGGGACACATGGCAGCTAAGGAAGCAAGTAGTTACATGCAAAGTCATGGGACACATGGCAGCCTGGGAAGCTGGTCGATTCCAATGGAAAAGTATTACAATGTTCTAGTGTAAAGTTATGGGACACATGGCAGCCAAGGAAGTGAATGGTTATAAGCGGTTACATGTAAAATCATGGGACACATGGCAGCCTAGGAAACTGGTCTATTCTAATAGAAAGGTACTACGACGTTCTAGTGGAAAGTGTTGGGACACATAGCAGCCAAGGAAATAAGCAGTTACAAACGGTTACATACAAAGTCATGGGACACATGGCAGTCTAGGAAACAAGCGGTTACATGCAAGCTACCATTACTAAATTCTATAAATAGGGCATGATATTATAACTTAGAAGGGCTGCTCAACGCCAAATCAAATACGCATTTCAATACAATCTTTATTTTCATTGCAATGCATTTTTAATATGATTAGTCTATGTTTTGCACTTTAATTTTCAGTAGATAATTTTACAGTTAATTCCATTACTTTCATAAGTAACGTAGTTCTTTCAAGTAAGTTAACTATCCCGAAGTCCTTTTTGAGAGGTAAAAAGAACCCTGGAGTGTTCATTCCAGACCTCATCACAGTCGTCTGGTCTTGCAATCTTCCATCTAGAATATTGTTTGGATCTCTCTTTAGAATTACATCAGTTCCTGGCACGCCTATCCAGTTCTATCTGAACCGACCACTTTTATAGGCTAAACAACAACAAATACAACAATTGCATTCTTTTGATTTCCTTTGGGCTTCAAAGGATAAATGTGTCTGAACACAAACGCAATTTGATCGCAGTTCAGAAAATTTTATTTGCACATTGCAAATAGAGAATTCCTTTCTTTTTTATTGGTTGAACAGGATAGGAAATGAATTTTTTTTTTTTTTTTTTTTTTTTTAAAGTGGAATGATTAAGTAGACAACAAACACATTTGAAAAATGGTTGGTGGGACAATGGAAGTTGTTACAAAACAAAAATGCTTTCACTATTACTGCTAAAATTAGTCAAGAATATAATGGCAAAGTTCAAGCTTTGAATGTCCATTGTTTTAAGACATATCGATTAAAGGCAAAATTTGAAAAGTTGTACATCATCGACGAACAAATATTGAAATAAAAAGTATCATCTTGCACTACAATTACAATCTCACCCACAGAAGGAGAGGTAACAAACACAATAACTCGCACTTTATAGGCTCCAATTTTAAAACATACAAATCCGCATAGATAATCATAAAATTTTAAATAAAAATAAATGGATACAAGCAGCATTCTTTAGACTTTGTAGCCTTCATGTCTTGATAACACACTGATACACACATAAAAAATGAGTAGATTCTTGAATTATCTATAAAAGAATATGTAGAAGTACAATACGTACAATGAGCTTAAGATAGAGTTGTTTTTAGCAGAGTTATGTACCTTTGATGGTATGTGTAAAAGATATAGCAACGGTAGCGAATGATACATTAGACATGACATGTCCAAGGGCATGACAAAATGCTACAAGAGTGAGGATTGCCAAGAGTTCCTTATATATTGGCTGGGCATGGATTCACTTTTAATAGTCAAATATGTTGGGATTTGTATGCCCTGGCATAGCCAATTCCTATTTGGATTAAAGTGACATATATTCCTAACATATCTGAAATATTTATGTTTTATACAATTGGTGAATTCAATGTATTATATTTCAATTCATTATAGAATTCATAATGTCCACTTGATTACAAGAGATATTTATATGTATGCGATAGCGATCAATACATGAACATAAATAGTAATCATAAATAGTTCATAGTCGGTAATTATGGATATACTCATTATTAACTAAGACTTGAACCGGATCCGCGTTAGGTTGAGATATATTGTGAGAGTCGTCATATGTAATTGCTTCCTATCATTGTCATGACATTTGACTCTTAAGTATGAAAGAAGTATAGACTCTTTTATTAATTAGTAATTACTTTGATTTGTTCGGATAATTCTTCAGAATCCATAGACCGACACTTTGGATAATTATGTAATTAATAGTTAGATGGTTATATTTTTAATATTTGCATCGCTTCTACTTATATTTATTTTGTATTGATTATGGTTGATCACAAACTAAATTTGAAGGCCTTGTGTGTTTTTAGACAAAATGATTTTCTATATATTTATTTATTTAAATTATTATTTTTGTCAAATAAATGTTTTATTGTGATTAAAACAGAAATAATCAAAGTTACCAAAATAAATATATTAATTTAGTAGTCGGATTGATGACTTTATTTATCCGATAACTAATTATGCATAGAGGGGTCAAAATGCAACATTGACTTAGAGGTTATTTATTATTTAATTAAAGTTCAATTAATTTCTTTTAGTAGAGTAGAAATTAATTTATGAATTAATTGTATTGGGTCCATGATATAATGGATTGGGCCATTTATTAATTCATTGTAGCCAAGAAAATAATAAGCCTAAATGATTCTCACTCATAACTCAACTTGATATTGGAGGCCTATTAGAATTGAGATATCACGGGAATTTTAGAGATTGAGAAAAATATATTGTCTTTAATTATTATTTTTCTTTTGCATATATATACATGAGGTCCATGTATATTTTAGGTTACGCCTTTATGCAATAATTTTTAGAAGACAAGAAAAGTTTTTCTATTTAGAATTTTAAGATTAGTGTTCTCATCAGATGGAGGCTCCCACAAGCTTAGCTCTCCAAGTCATTCATGGAGGTTTATGGGTGATTCCTAAAGGCAAGATCATTACCGTCAAGATGGAGATCCATGGAAGAGGCATTTAGCAAACGGATCTACAATAAGTGAGAACATTCACTTAAGAAGAGAGATCTAAGGTTTACACAAACATTGATGTAAGTTTTCTATCTCTAATTGAATGGGCCATCATGTTCTTCATGCATAAACTTGTGTTTACACATGAATCAAAATCTTTATTTGAAAATGCCTCGTAAAGTTTAAAAACTTTCGTTTCCCCGACAGTGGTATCAGAGGTAGATTTGATTCATGTCTAAAGTTAATATTTTTTTATTGAAGAAAATCATCAATCATGGATCCAAATTTATATATGCATATGTATATATTAATCTATAATGATTATGTATATATATTTGTGATTGGATGATGATGATGTATGTTTGGGCCATGGATGAAACTTATAGGTTAATTGATGTAATTTTATTTTTGGATGAATGTAATTAAGGTTTTGATTTAACCATTTAAAAGTAGTTCAATGATGTAATTTTATTTTTTTTATTTATTTCAAATTGTAAAATTTATTTAAAGTCGTGTAATCTTCATCAAATGATGCAATGAAACTTCAAGAAGGTCCAAGAGGGTCTAATTTGGCTTCAGGAATTTTCAGGAATTTTTCAGATTTTTTTTGAAATTTTTTAAACCAAATAAAGCATTGTGGAATTGCTTAAGTTGTAAATGGACAACTAAATACTTTTATCTTGGTTAGGTGTTTTTGTTCAATTTACCAAGCCTGGGGGTGTTATTATCAAAAAATGCTTAAGTTGTAAATGGATTTCTTCAAATTGAACTTAGGAGTGTTAATGTAATTTACCCAAATGTTTAAATTTCAAGGCACTTCTGACCGTGTATGTGTGTTCATGCTTCCTAGCAGTGATGGAGTCCGGATTAAATTTAATTTTGCACAATAAACAAGATAAAATAAATATTTCTCCTACTAGCCGGAAGAAAGAAAAAAAAGTGAATTAACAATGCAATAATCAAGATTCAAATAGCATGCCACAGTTCACAAAAAGATTGAAGTAAAGAAAAATTCAGAAACATTAAATTCATAAAATTACAATAATAAATTTGAAGAAGAAAAAAATTATAATAATAAAAAAAACTTATTATACATACATCATATATAAGTGCAGGAAGCAAAAAATTTAAAAAATGCAAAAAATTGATTTATACATCTTATTCTACAGGTCGGCCTGCTATATATTTTGGCTACCATTGACTTGAAGTCAACTTGGTGGTCCATTATCTTTCAACTCCACTAACTCGGGAGAGAAAAAGGAGTTCACAACGCGGAAGTTTCAGTCTTTGTCCCTTAAATCAGAAAAGATTCAATCTACTACTTGTCAACTTGTTTTTGGTGGGTAATTATAGTGGAGCTTCGTTAATATATACTGATATCTCTCTTTATTTTTTAAATTACATTGATCTTTTTTGTTAGAGTTATTGGGGAATGACATTAACGATTTTTGTGTAATTATGTTTATGTCCTTATATATTATATTATATTACAAATAAATATGTTTTTGAAGGGTAAAATTAAAATTTAAAAGTTCAAAAATTGCTGACATCAACACTTTTTTTCATTGACAGTTAATAAAGAGGAGAGTATGTATTATTCACATACAAATCTTAAAAGAAAGTAAGTATAATTTCAATTTCAAAATTTTAATTCCATACCTGCCAAGCATAACATAAGTGTAATTTACTTTTTTTTCTAATTTGTTATGTTAACGCCCATGTAACACGTGTTTTGGAGTGTGAACTCAGGTTTTTCTTTTACTTTTCCTGAAAGCTAGTGTGAACTCAGGGTTTTGCTGAAGGCAATTAGTAAGGTGTGTGACTTGGGGCTCGGAGGCCTTTCAAAATTCGGGGATCTTTTTGACTGCTTTATTGTCTTTCTTTATTGCTAAATTTGCATTGCTGTGATGGTCACTTTCTACGCCAAAGTCTTTCCAAGTGATCGCCCCCTTACATATATATAAGTCATACATTGGTTATATATATATATCATCATCAATTAAAACGTAGTATACTACTATAACTTCCTTTGTTCAGTCCTTCGTTGGAACCATACACAAAAAAAAATAAAAAAATAAAAATAAAATTAGAATGAGAAGCAAAGCTTCTTCCATCTATTCATCTCTCACCATATGTTGTTTATTCGTGATTTGGCTCATCATGGTTTCACCTGTACCCTCTACGCGGAAATTATCCACCACTCCCAGCAGCCGTAAGTACTCTCTCTCTCTTCTCTCGTGCTTTCTCTCTCAGACGCATTCATATTCATTCATTTTGTTCATTGTTTGAGTTATGCAGACGGAGATAGTCATATGGAAGCAGGCAAACACGATTATAAACATGCCGGATCTGCTATACCATCAGGACCAAAAGTATCAAAAGCACCTACAAAAGGTACTGGTACTACTGTTACCGGCTCCAACTCCAAAACTCGTACTACTGTTTCCGCCTCCAAAAGCGTGGGGGGCTGTGATCGAGATACATATGGGGCTTGCCTACCAGGAGGAAACGTCGTTAGACGCTGTCAGCAGTATGGAAAGTGCAGACTGGGAAAGTGAAACAAGCAAAGCTACTGGTTCTCATGTTTGTGGTGGATATATATATATATTAGTAATTGTTTGTAATATTTCAGATCCGAATAACAAGTTACTCCTTATGTGTTGCTTCATCTGTCCCAAATTAATTTTTTGTTTTCCACGATTCTAATTTTTTGAGGGGAAATGGAATTATAATTTGACTTGGATCCTCTAATTTAAAATTCCAAGTTATCCTATATTGAATTTTTTACATAATGACATGCGTCATTGAGATATATTTACAACCTATATCAGTTAATTTAATAAAATTTAGAAAACTATAACGTTTTAAGGTAAAAAACTTTACAAAAACGTAAACATTTCTCTCCTATAAGATCTCTCCTCTTTTGTCCAAAAAAATATTGCTCCCTCTTTCTCTCTTCTTTGAAATAATAGTATTGGTTTGGATGAAGAAGGTGATTTGATTAAAGAAACTTAAATACTATATTTTAAATTTAATTGTATACAGTGTCTGATTAGATGAATTTTGTAAAATTTATAAAAAAAATTCCACATTTATCCAGGGAAAAAAAAATTCCACATTTAAGTTTTGAACATAGTTTGCCATTATATCAACATAAAATAGACGTTCTTCATTATTTAGAAATAATAAATCTTTGGTTAATAATAAATAGATGCATTTTTATACATATTCAGATTTAAACTGAAGTATAAATGGTTAAGGTATTTTAAATCTTTTCTATCTTAAAACGGTGCAGTTTTATAACTTTTTTTAAATTAGCTGAAGTGATTTAACATAAGCGATATATATATCTTAAACGACACATATTATTCTGTAGAAAATTCAACTTACGATAACATAGAAGAGTTTTAACTTAGAGGATCTAAGTTCATTATAATTCGCATCTCTTTTTGAATTTCAATATCTCAACTCCAGAGTATAAATATTTACATTGTAAATTCCATGGTAAAGGCAATTTCTAGCTCTTCTACTTTTTAATCCTCACTTGAAAACGATTGTATAGATATTTATTTGTATATATTATTATTAGGGTTAATTGCACTAAACCTCCTCAACTTTCTTCTCTCTCCCACAAAAACACCCTGAACTATTAAAAAGACACTAAACTCCCTAAACTATTTTAATCATTGCAAACTATTAATTAGCCGTCTGAAATTTAACGTTAGTGCGTCATGTGACCTATCTCAAATTTAAAATGCCTAAAATAACCTTATGACCATTAAAGCTATATATATATATATATATATATTACGTAAACCCATTATTATATATACATATACAAGTATCTATATATTTGAGAATTTGTGTTCAGCAACAAATCTAACCATATGCATGTATGTATCAGTAAATGATCGTCTGGTATATTTACAATCTATTATTTGTCTCCGTTCATCCTCCACAATCTGTTCTTTCGTTTCATTGATTAAAAATTGTCCTCCAAATCTCTCTCTCAATTGCTTTTTTTTTTTTTTTTTTTTTGGGTTTTGAAAAATGAGAATGGCCGAATCATTAATCACATAAAAAAGAAAATAATTTTAGGCTACCATAATCTAAACACAAAATAGAATACCAAAACAATCCTCATAATCAATGAAAAACAATCAAATCAAGACTTACAAATGGAGTGTCCCAACAAACAAATCCGCAAATTCATCACCCACATACAAAGAACAATAAACCCCAAAACCACCCCCCCCCCCCTCCCCCCAACACACCACCACCACCACCACCACCACCAAACAAAGGCCCTTTTGCCCAAATCTTCAAACCTAACAACCACGGATAACTCAACCACAGTGAACTAGAGAAATAATTTTGTTGAATATTTGAAATAAGAAACTCAAAATTCATTCTTTTTTTGCTAGGTTATTTGTTCTTCAGTGCAAACACTACACCTATTTGTGTTTTTGTGTGTGTTGATTTTCTGGGTCTTTTGTTTTTGAGCATCTTCTCTACAGTAGCTCATAAACCCAACTAAAAATAGCTTTTAGTGGGTTTAGATAGAAAGAAAGGGTTTACCGTTTCAGTAGAAGGGAGGAATTATTTGATGCTAATTAATTTAGAGAGATGGAGTGGGTTTAGAGACAAAGAGCTTCACGTTGCCAGTAGAAGGTAGGAATTGTTTGGCACAGGTTTAGATAAAGAGTGTGTGTTTGGCGCCATATATCAATATAACCCAAGCAATTGTAATAAGGAATGTATGATTATGATGTGTTGGTGATTTTCTATTGGAGATTTAGATTGCATTTGCCACATCAGTTGTTGAAGTAGGATATAACTCAAAACAGTGTTGTTCAACTTAAGGGTTAAAAGGTAATTTGCTTTTTTAGTTAACGGAAGGTTAACTATTTGTATTTAATTGCAACACTATTATAGTTCAAGGGGTTATTCTTTAATCAGGGGTTTTTTTGCAATCAGTTCATAATTTAGGGGTTTAATGCACCTAACCCTTATTATTATTTCAAAAGTTAAAGCAAACCCATGTATCTTTGCCCCCACCAAGACGGGAACAGTCAACCTCTATAAAGGGGAGCAGAGCTATACCATTGGTAAAGTGCACCCTCATGATCTTTATTCTCTCGCCCAAGAAACCTCCTGAAATTTCATTTTTACAATAAATTCTCTAAACTATTTCATTTTTTTTTTTTTTGCAAAAAACACACTATGTCACTATTCTGATTGATTTTTCCGGTGAAACAGGCACTATGATTTTAAAATGACAATATTACCCCTATTAAAATTTTAATATTAAATCAATTACACCTCCCAATTTGTTAACCCAAACTCCCATTAGCTTTCATCCCTACCAAATTGCATCTTTCACTCATCTCATTCTTTGCAACCCTGTCAACAATCACAGACCTGACTTTTGCAAACCTGATCACAAATCAAAGTCATACACAAAAAGCCATGTGTTACAAAACCACTTATGTGATTCGGTTGCTGGAACCAATCTTCTCTCTCTTACTCGTGAAATCCAACCATCGTCATCGTATATTTCTCTCTCTTGCTCTAATTGGCAATCCGGCAGAGTTGTTATTGGAACCTATTACGAATTACAACAAAGTTAAAGACAATCGAAGAGAAAAATCAAAAGGATCTCATCGTTCCTCTCTAATGAGGATGACGAAGCAAGGACTAAAAGAATCAATTGAGTTTCAATTTTGATCTCGATAACGAATCGGAGCAATTTCAAATTGTATAGGTATACACATAAAAAATATTTGGATCGACTTTCAAACAGGAATCACTCCTCAAATTTGTATATACACACACATCATATACATATATGACAGAATATATCTTGTTGTCATACACAACATTAAACCCATTTTGATGGGAAGCTAAGGAGTGATTGTGAGAGAGACTATGTAATACCCCTAATTTTAAAAAGATAGTCTCGGTATTTTTAATTAATTGTTTTATTGTATTTTTATTTGATTATTTGATTATTTGTCTAATTGTTTAATTGTTTAATTATTTAATTGAATTAATTGTTTTAATTGAGTTGTGTGCTTATGTGGCATTGCATTAAATTGATTTATTTGGTTAATTAAAATTCTGTATTTAGATGGACTTAAAATAAATGTTAAATTAATTTTTTTTTTAATTTAAGGAGTTGGGCTAGATAGTATTATGGACTAACCATTAGGGTCACATGGATTATTTAGATTTGTGGGTCTGGGTACAGTTAATACCCATGGATGGTTATACATATATATAATGTTATATATGTATATGAGATTTAATTAATTATTATTTATTATTGATGATTACGTTAGTATCAGTATTCAATATATATGTCTTATATGGTTTAGGGTTTTATATATATTTTATGAAGTCACCGACTTATATACATATATCTATTTTATTATATATTTTCTTTTTCTTTTCCAGCTGTTCATGTTAATAGAATTAAGTTAGAATTAGGTTTTCCTATAAATATACCATTATATCTTTGCATACGGTTAAAACCCTATTCACGAACAGATAAGTCTGAGAGAAAACAGAGAGAGGAAAAATTAGGGTTTGGCTAAGACTAAGGCTAAGCCAAGGAGAGAACGAAGGGGTGTTACTCGTGGGTTGAACCAAGGGGCAACAAAGGAGTTAGAGCAATGAAGGATTGCCGAAAAAGCTAGGAAGACGACGCTGAGATTTTATTCTAAAATCTCCAAGGCAAGTTCTATACCTTACTCCTTAGACTTGTGTTCTGTACATGCCTAGGTAGTCTCCAGGAATTTATTTGAATGTTAAATTAATCTCCTGTTCATGTTTAATTTGATCTGGAATAAGTTTTGTTAATTTAAATTACAGTTGATTAATTGTGAAGCATATGGCATGATTAATTGTTTTCATTGTTGTCATTAATGTAAACTATTTTATATAAATTATTGGGATGCCACTAGATATAGTTCAGACTCTTAGGATCAGTATCGATGAATAACAGAAGAGTTGGAAGTTGTCAGAGACGCAGCGGAAGGGGTAAAACAGGTTCAGGGCTCTTAGAGGGGGAGAGTGCCGGCTCCAGGGAAGTAAGAGCTGGCTCCCTCAAGTGAAGAGCCAGCTCCATGGGTTAGGGAGGCGGTTCCCTCATGTGTAGAGCCGGCTCCAAGGTGTATGGAGCCAGCTCCATGTGTGGATTGAGCCTGCTCTCAATTTTTGTGAGCAGGCTCTCTTATTTTGATGCGTACTGGAGGTAGTTTGGGCACTGTTTGAATGATTTAGGTTTCCTGAACTGTTTTGGGATATTAATGAGGGTTCTAAATATTATTTCATGGTGTATTAAAACCCTGTGATGCATAATTTTTATTTATATACTAATGATTTGAACAGTATAAAATTTTAAACAAGTTTGCATGCTGTTAACGGATAGAGAGGATTTACTTGCTTAATCTGATTTTTAGCAATTTAAATGACTGGGACATAATTTTTAAATCCGTATTGGATGCATAATAGGGTCATATAGTTATTAGATTTTATTATGCTTATCCTGGATTTTAATTGATGAACCATTAAATTCTGTTCTGTCAATTACATGGATGTTGTGGATTGTATGCATCGGTATGGGATGGTGGCATACTAGGGACAGATTAGTTCAAAATACTAAGT